CTGTGGGAAAAGTTTCATAAAAAAGTCTCACCTTGTTCAACATCAGGCAGTCCACACACGAGAAAGACCTCACAAGTGCTTGGACTGTGGGAAAAGTTTCATAAAAAAGTCTCACCTTGTTCAACATCAGGCAGTCCACACAGAAGCGAGACCCCACAAGTGCTTGGACTGTGGGAAAAGTTTCATAAAAAAGTCTCACCTTGTTCAACATCAGGCAGTCCACACAGAAGCGAGACCCCACAAGTGCTTGGACTGTGGGAAAAGTTTCATAAAAAATTCTCACCTTGTTCAACATCAGGCAGTCCACACAGAAGCGAGACCCCACAAGTGCTTGGACTGTGGGAAATGTTTCAAAGTGAGATCAAACCTTGTTCACCATCAGGCAATCCACACAGGAGCGAGACCCCACAAGTGCTTGGACTGTGGGAAAAGTTTCATATGGAGGTCTGACCTTATTAAACATGGAAGAATCCACACAGGATCTAAACTTCTGTGACACATGGCAAGAAAAGGTTAAGCAACTTGCATGTAATTGACTCAGGGTCAACATTTAGAGAGAGATTTTAAAAGTGTGTCCACTTTAGATAAGCTGGAGTTTGAAATGTAAAGTTGTGTGATGACTTAATAAAGAATACATGAATGTGAAGTAACAATTGTGTGGGCGTTTTCCAGCTTCACAGCATGTAACAAACATACAGCAACCTCTCAGTGCTCCATGGACAGTCCTGATAGACATATTGTAATGGGACAGTAATATTCAGCAGGTGATGAATTTTCCTATGAATCCTCACAACACATACTTTGGAGAAGATTTATCATTTTGTAAACATGGTGCCCATAAGAGGGTAGACCAGTGGTTCTCCTATGTGTTTCATTTCCCCCCCACTTCTGTGTGTCTGTGGTTATATAGGCCCCCACCCTTAAAAGCACATATATCACACGCAGCTCTAAAGGCAGAGTAGTTGCTGGCGATGTGCACAGCACTGAAGATCTCCAATAGCATCACAGAACTTAGGGTGGCCACGTGAAAAGTGATATTCGTCAATATTGTTGTTCACAGCAGACTTATGACACCATTGCCGCCCCTACTTCTGTGCTGCTGCTCCACCTGGGTTTGACAGCTTAAGCATTGATCCCCAACTCGCAGCAAGGCCTGTTCCTTCTTCTTGAGCCCCAGCCAACTGGGGTCAACAGCAGTGCTCTTTAAAAAACAAACAAACAACCCACACTGATCACGACTCCCTTGACGCATTCCTATGCCTCCATTGGGAGGCTCTGCCCACACTTTGAGAATTGCTAGTGCATAGAGTCACCATGGGGATTAGTAGCCAAGATGGTAACACCTGCTCCTTTCCGTTTCCGGGATTCCCAGAGAAAATGTCTGAGAAGGAGAGCAGAACAGATCCGATTAACATTAACCTTCCAAAACACATTTTGGTGATTTCAGTTATAAACATTCCCTTCATCCTTCAGCCCCTACCGCCAATGAATTCAATGAGACTGAGCTGGAATTGGGCAGGTGGCATGGGGACGGGTATAATCGCTGAATTATTGATCCCTGAATTAACAGAATACAGGAACCCTTTGGATAGCTAAATATAGACTATTACAGTTACCCCTCTTAGAATCATATAATATCAGGTTTGGAAGAGACATCAGGAGGTCATCTAGTCCAACCCCCTACTTATTGTAGGGCCAATCCCCAAATACATCATCCCAGCCAGGGCTTAGTCAAGCCTTACCTTAAAAAGCTCTAAGGAACGAGATTCCACCACATCCCTAGGTAACCCATTCCAGTGCTTCACCACCCTCCTAGTGAAAAAGTTTTTCCTAATATGCAACCTAAACTTTCCCCACTTCAACTGGAGACCATTACTCCTTGTTCTGTCATCTGGTATCACTGAGAACAGTCTAGATCCATCCTCTTTGGAACCCCCTTTCAGGTAGTTGAAAGACGCTACCAAATACCCCATCATTCTTCTCTTCTGTAGACTAAACAATCCCCGTTCTCTCAGCCTCTCCTCATAAGTCATGTGCTCCAGCCCCCTAATCCTTTTTGTTGCCTTCCGCTGGACTCTTTCCAATTTTTCCACAGCCTTCTTTTAGTGTGGGGTCCAAAACTGGACACAATATTCCAGATGAGGCCTCACCAATGTTGAATAGAGGAGAATGATCATGTCCCTCAATCTGCTGGCAATGCCCCTACTTGTGCAGACCAAAATGCCATTAACCTTCTTGGCAACAAGGGCACACTGTTGACTTATATCCAGCTTCTCATCCACTGTAACCCCAGGTCCTTTTCTGCAGAACTGCTGCCTAGCCATTCGGTCCCTAGTCTGTAGCAGTGAATGGGATTCTTTCATCCTAAGCGCAGGACTCTGCACTTACCCTTGTTGGACCTCATCAGATTTATTTTGGCCCAATCCTCTAATTTGTCTAGGTCCCTCTGTATCCTATCCCTACCCTCTAGAGTATCTACCACTCCTCCCAGTTTAGTGTCATCTGCAAACTTATTGAGGGTGCAGTCCACATCATCCTCCAGATCATTAATGAAGATAGTGAACAAAACCGGCCCCAGGACCGACCCCTGGGGCACTCTGCTTGATATCGGCTGCCAACGAGGCATGGAGACTTTAATCACTACCCCTTGAGCCCGTCGATCTAGCCAGCATTCTACCCACCTTATAGTCCATTCATCCAGCCCATACTTCTTTAACTTGCTGGCAAGAATACTGTAGGAGATCATATCAAAAGCTTTGCTAAAATCAAGTAATAACACATCCACTGCTTTTCCCTCATTGACAGAGCCAGTTATCTCGTCATAGAAGGCAATTAGGTTACTCAGATATGACTTGCCCTCTTCTTCCAAGTCTTTAAAAATACACATTTACATTTCAAACTCTAGCTTATCTAAAGTGGACACACTTTTAAAATCTCACTCTAATTGTTGACCCTGAGTCAATTACATGTAAGGTAGGTGATCTTGGGGGACAACTACTGCACTGGTAGGGTGCAAAATAAACTTTATTAAAAAATACAAAAACAGGTTAAATTCAATAGTGAGGGGTATGGGGTTTGTTAAGGTAGACAATTGGGGAGGGGTTTCTTTTAGTAAATAGGATAGGGGGGTTTCAATAGTGGGGTACAATACAGTGGGGTACAATACAGTTGGTAACCAATTAACACTGAAGTATAAATGTAACAGATAGCTAACAATTTCTATGTAAAGAGTATGTCCCAGCAGCATATAACCAACTAACAGTATGGGTAAAATGTGTTAAATAACCAATAACTTTAGGTAAAAATGTGTCACAGTGTTGTAAATGTAAAATGTGAGGTGTGTTAGAGAGAAAAGGTGTAACCAGTGGGGTTTCATGCTAGACTTCAGTAATACAATTGAGGTTTGGTAACAGTAGGAGCAGGGTGAGCACGCGGTGGAGGGAGATTTAAACTCAGGGAGACACAGAGAGCAGACAGGTTGCAAGTTTAAACAGCAGAGAGAGAGAGAGAGACAATTATAAAGAACACAGCAAAATCTTATCTATGATTTAACTTAACCAAGACTACACAAATTAGCAAGTAACAAAACACAATGCAACAATTCTTTAAGACTAACTTACAGAGTACAGTGCAAGCAATTTCCTAAACATAACTTAACCACAGCTATGCAAAATGAAATTACAATTTATCTAGACTAAATGCTAAATCTAACCTAATGGGTGCACCTTATACTAGGGGTAGTTCCAGAGGGCAGAGTGGTGTGTGCCCGGGATACAGCTCCAAGGGGTGTGTGTGTTTAACTAGTGGTGGCTCAAGCAGGGGGCTGGCTGCAAGCTGGCAGCCCAGGATACAGTCCAGGAAGGCACAGGCTTATTTCTAGCAGTAAAGGCACTGTGGAGCAAGAAACAGATTACAGATACACACCAAGGAGTTAGCTTGGGTCTGCCTGCTGGGGCAAAGAAAGCCAGCAGCTAAAACAAGGGGAGTCTGCAAGAAGTTTTTCCTTACCAATCCCCAAAGCAGCAGCAGGAACAGCAGTTTCAACATCAGAGTGTCGGAGAATAACAGAGTTCTCACTTTTTGTTTGGGTACAGCAAGTCAGATACTTTATTTTCTCTCACAATTGCGCAGAGGGAGAGAGCTAAGCAGGTCTCTCTACAGGTAAACAGTTACAGCAAACCTTTATACCTTTCATTACAG